AAAAAAGACGGACGTTTTGCCTATTCTCGCTTTCCAGAGCGGCTTTCTTTGGCTAAGTTTCGGAATTTAATAGAAAAGCAACCGCTGCCGTCCCTGGGTGGGCTCGAACCACCAACCTTTCGGTTAACAGCCGAACGCGCTAACCGATTGCGCCACAGAGACTTAGTACGGTCTTTTTCCAGACAGCTTTATAAGGATAATTACAAACCAGACTGAAAAGAGTCCCGCCATTCGATGACACCAAAGGTACAGCGGGATTTACCCGGAGCGAGCACGACAAGAGCAGCCGCCTCCCCTCGAACTGCCCTCGCAAGCCAAATAAACCGACAAGGGGCGTCTTTTTCCTCCTCCTCTGAAAAAAGCGAGAACTTCTCGCAGCGACTGCTCGCCGTTTTATTTTCCATGAATTTGCCCGAGCCCATTTTAAAGCCACGGAATGGCCTCGACTAATGATGCACCGCGTGAAGTTCTGGGCTTCGACTGTCCTCGGCGAGATGCCGGCCCATAGCATGGGGCAAGCTCAATTTCCGAGGTTTTAGGGGAAACGCGTTCGTGTGTGTGGTTTTCGCCTAAAGCGAGCGTCTTTTTAGTAGACCCACTACATGCAGGATCTTTCCCACCAGCATGAGAGCGGCTGGTGCCAACGACCTGCTGCTTTGCAAAAGCCTGCAGCTGGGGACTAGTAACTCCTAGAAATGGGGAGCAAAACTACTCGCTTCTCCCCGTCGGGGAATCGAACCCCGGTCTCCCGCGTGACAGGCGGGGATACTTACCACTATACTAACGAGGAAGAGGCAAAGAAGCTCCGAGCTACGTGCCTCGTATGTCCGAGAATTGCAGGTTGCGAAGGGTCAGCAGGCAATGAACCAATCCCTCTGCAGCTTGCAAATTTTAAATATTTTCGGCGGGCCTTTCAACCTCTATTTCCTGACATCCCAGTTTCTCTAGCTCTGCCTCACTCTTTGCAATTGCAATGCCTTGATATTTAATGTCTGCAATGAGAAACTGTGGGCAGTTACTGATAGCCGTTGTAATTTTGCAAATGCCTAAGGGAATTAGATGTCCAACAGTGGAGCTTCATGCTGTATAGTATGGCAAGTTTTTAAATGGCAGAAGGAAAAGCAAGGATCAGATTTATTTACCTGTTCCTAGACCATCAAGTTACGGAAGCTCTCTGGGCAATTCACAATCACAGCATAGTAAAAACAACACAAACCTTTCTCCATACAAAACGTAAATCAGAATTCAAAGCAATTTGAGCAGCTAAAATCAATTTTAATACAGCCCCCCTTTATCACTGAACATCTCAGAGATGAGAGCAGTCTAAATCTGGCACCAAAAAAAGGGATACCAATTGATACCAGGTGGGCCCAAGAGGGAAGACCGTTCCATAATGGGGCCACCACCTAGAAGTCCACCCGCCTTCCTGCCATCCTCCAAGCCTCCTTGGTGGATTGCACTCAGGAGAAGGCCTCAGATGCTGATACAAATGTGGGGTAGATTTAGGTTGGGGGAGGAGCTCCACCAGGTACTGTGGTTCCCCAAGGACTTAAAGTATACAAACTGCTCTGTGTTGGGAAAATTTGGATAAATCCTGTCTGAAAAGCATTACTTCTGTGTGCTTTTTGCATTGTGGGATCAAATCCTGTGCTCCTTCTCAAAACCAAGCTGTCACTGGTTAAAATGGCATTCCCCCGCTTCTTTCTCTCACCTTTAGCTGTGGGCTACAGTAGACAGGCCATCCAGTCCGAATATACATTGTAAATAGTCATTGTTGGAATTCAGTTTACTGTAATCTTTTGATAGCCCAGAGGGCTTCCTGTGCCCTGATCATGCAGAATGTTTAGAGCGGAGATAAGGGTCTGAGCTTATCATGAATAGTTTCTAGTAGTTTGAATTTGCATGTCTGAGCAGACCTGGAGATGGGTTCAAGTGTCAATACAGGCAATTAGAAAGGTTGTAATCTCATTGTTACTGTGTGATTGACTGACATTCCTTTATCTGTTCTGTGTGTGATGACCTCAGAATCTTATTGTAATCTCTGCATTCTGTCATCAGTTGCCCTGTACCTGTGTACCTATAAATGCCCTGTAATGGTATTGGAGCTTGGCAGCAGAGTTCACCTCTGCCTGCCCGGTAATGCATTATCGTGAGTATGGACCCGCGGGGAACCTGGGTAAGACAATCAAGCCACAGATGGTCTGGACGCTTGGTCTTTCCCACGAACCCGCGTTTTATTCCCTCTTCTCAAATTAAGATTCCGGGATTCTGACATCTGCTACATCTGATCAAAGATCTATGTAGATTATAGAACAGGAGAAAGACCACAAAGGGACACAAGGACACCTTGGGAACAGTCATGCTCCTCCACCAACCAGCAACTTGCCTCTGATACCAAGCATCATGAGGACTACATAACATGAGGACAGAATACATTTGTATTATGTTTTATATTATTATTCTTATTTATTTATGTAAGCCGTCCTGAGGCTTTTGCGAAAGGACAGTATATACATATTCTAAATAAATTTTTAGATATTTTATCTTAATATAAATATTTTATTTAATATATTGGGTTTATATCCCTCCTTTTTCTTTTTTAAAGAACTCAAAACAACTGACATAATTTTCCTCCTCCTCCTCCCTGTCTTATCCCTACAACAACCACCCTGTGAGGTAGGTTGGGCTGAAAGTCTGACTGGCCCAAAGTTACACCACGGACTCCATGAGGGAGCAGAGCCTAGAAGCCAGGTTGCCTGATTGCACTCCCACACTCAAACCACTACACCACACTGTCTCTTTTGCCTTGAGAGTTCTCTTTTATTCATTATTGTAAGAAACACAGGATAAGCAGACAACTTTGAAATTTACCTAGAAATACATATAAAGATACTTACAAATGCTTCAGAGAAGTTCTTTAGGAGAAAGAAATGGGATTTTACCTGCTTAAAATGGTTTTCCACAACTAACAACACACTAGAGAAGCACTCCAAAAGAATACTGCTTCCAAATCAATAGGAATTCTTGGAATTCCCTGCAGCTGGAATTGTTCCTGAAGATGGAAACTCCCTTAGTGCATTTCAATCTCCCCCCTCCCCCAATCCCAACAATACTGGCCCAGTTTGGCTTCATTTTTCTTTCTTTGTCTGGTTCATCCAATAATATTACTGTTCAGCTTTGCTAATATAGAAGCCATGTTTCTCTCACTTCTGCTTCCAACCTCCCAAGCTATCTTTGGAGACAGTTATAATTCCTGGAGTTTACAGAGTGTAGACCCACTAAGGGCATAATCCCATGTCTGTTTAGAAAACTCCCAAGCATTCTTCCATAAAACATTCTTTCCCCAACCACTTTAAATTCTTGAGGCCTAGGAAGCTAGCTTATTTGTGACTTTTTGGCCCAGTATATTCCCTTTTAATCAAGGCAAGAAGGTACGGTAACATGCTTTTCCCTAGTAAACTAAGATTTAGTACTGCCAGGCTAAAACTGGAAACTGCACCAACCAATTTTTATTTAGAAACCCATTTTTAAGCGTGACCAAAGCTCTGTTCGCGAGGGAGTGGGTGGCTCTTAAAAGAGCCTTTGGTCATGAAGA